TATATATATATATCCATGGGACTTCGGCCAAATTTAAGATTGAAGCCATTTTCAATTAGGCTAAGTCATTATCTTAGAAGGAGAGAGTCTGGACAACTTAAAAGAGAGAACAAAAAAAGATTTGATGATTCTATGGATGGTCAATTACACTTAAGATGATAGTCAGATCCTTAGTATTCTATTTGATGCAGAATTCTATCTCTATTTAAAATGCAATTTAAATCCAATTTAGTTGTCATAAATGTGGGGCATTCCATAATGAGTAGTATCATGTTTTATACATTAAGAAAAATGTGATTTTAACCATAATATATCAAATTCATGTAATCATTAGATGGGCCAATGCATGCTCTATCCTTAATTGCGAAGATAAATTTTGAGAATTTTAATGTTCTAATGATGGTCACCATTCCTAATATTCTTTATTGACGTTCCAAATATAACATTTTGGTAGCTCTTGATGACAAGAGTTTGACGGTGGTGATAAATCAAGATTATAATAGTCAACTTTAGTGGATTAATCATGAGGTATGTTTAAAGGTCAAGTTTAGGGAATAATAACATAGTAGTCATTTTCATCTCAAAATACTAAATCCTCATGAGTAATTCGATGTTGCAAATGGCTTCTGAATTAAAGACCCGTCAAAATTATAAAACTTCGAAAATTTCACTTGAAAAAACTTGCAATCATAAAGTAGCAAGGGGTGGCAATAACACATTGCCTTCATTAGTTGAGCAAAAGAGTGGATACTTCAATTACTTGAACAATCTAAGCCGATTCAGCGTGAGCAATTTGGGCCCTAATGTGCTCAAGTTCAAATTATTGTGTCATCAACCAATTATTTTAAAAGGTAATTACATGATAGGCACTCAAAATCTTGTTATTCACAAAACTGAAACTCATGTCGATTTTTTAAACCACCAAATCAGTGCATTTATATGTGCAACAAACAAATCATTAAGAATTTCACAAAAATAAAAAACGCAGGCTGAGATTTTATTGTATATTTTGATATTTCAGTAAGAGTCTGAAAGGAATGAAAGAAAATGCTAGTACTGTAAATATCAAAATTTTGAGTGCGATGTATGTAATTGCCTATTATTTTAATTATAAAATTATATATTTATGATTCTATATGCAATTTTTTTCACAAATGCCCATCCAGACATTTCCTTCGTTAAACTCGCTCCCCACAATCGTTCAGTAATTCAAAAAATCACTGATTTGTAAATTATCAGCGTTTTGGGTGCTCTATGTAATTAAGCCTATTTTCTTTTATAGTTGAATGCATTAGCACGATAGAATAACGAGCTGAGTTTGAACTAAGAGCTATAAAATTTTTCAAGGCTTATAAGATTGGTAGAATCAAATTACATGCCTGTTCCCAAAAGGAGTACCAGATCAATGTAGCTACATATAAATAAAAAAAAATGATGCGTTTAAACTATATGCAAATACCATTAAAACTCATAAAACATAAAATAAAAATATTATTTATTAAAATATATTTTCTGTCTATAAACTGTAAAATGAGCCCCAAGAAACCGGTAACAAAGGATGTATTTAATTGAAAGTTTCATAATGGCCCTTTAGGCGTCCAAAGAACTTTGCAGTATTCATCAATAACAGCTTATTATTTGCACATATTGCTTAGCAAATTCACCAGTTTTGCGGAATACCTTCTAATGAACACTCAAAAGTAATATCTCCTATTGCTTGTCCGTCTTCATTATTTAAGCACCTGCCGAAGCCAATGCGCCGATGTGGAAGAATGGCGCCCCATAGACTTCCTGTGATCTATCGTCTTCCCCAATTTCTTCTCCACCAGCTTCCCACAAAAAGGAGGCGTATGCAGCTTGAACAAAACTGGTAAAAAAAAAAAAATCAGAAGTCCTATATTTAATTGGTGAAAAAGTTTCGGTTAATATTCTGATTAAATATAGATCAGAATGGGTTTCAAATTATTGAATTTACTTGAAAATGAGTACAATATAAAAATATCAAAGAAGATTTATACATATACCAATTAATTCCTATGTATTTACATATGTAACAAATGAATTCAATTTTTACATATATGCCAGCTTATCTAAGCATAAAAAATTATATTTCATTTTAAAAAGCTAAAATATTGATATTTTTATAAAAAGTAAAATTTACATGTTATATAAATACAAAGAAATTGAGTGTTATGTGCGTAAATGTCCCAAAAATCAATCACAATTTACATTACTCATCTCAAAATGATTTCAATAGTTTTAAACTCAATTATCCTGAGCAAATTGTTTATTTTTTTCTTTTTGGAATTTACATACACGGCACATAACTCTAATATTTAACACCAAAGCCTTCATAATTAGTAATATAACGACACAGCAAAACATATACACTGCATGCTATATTTTGTTCTAAGAACAAAGTTAATATCAATGATAATCTTAATGAGATACAAAAATTTGGGTTTCATATCAAAGTTTAGATGTTAAATATGTAAATATATAAGAATTATGTGGTATGTATATAATTTTTTTTTTCTTGAAAGTGTAAAGAGGAAATGAGATGAGTGTGTACTGCATACCAATTATTTTGATCCATGTTAGCAGCACGCTCGATGTAGGCTGAAGCCCTTTCAAAGTCACCGTGAAGCTCCCATAGTAACTTGCCATACTGCGAGAGGGTTTCAGCATCATCGGGATCAGCGAGGATGGCACGGGAGTAGTATTCTTCAGCTTGAGCAAGGTTCCCTTTGCACTGTAACCATGAACTCAGGTTTATTGGAGAAGAATATAATAATAATAATAATCATAAAGAGTATTTATATAATTATACATGCCAATAATTCTTATACATTTGCATATGTAAAATCTGTAATCCATCTTTACATGCATATCACTCAAACCTTTAAAATCACGTAAAAAATATCACGAATACTGGTTTTTAAAAAGTGAAATTCTATGACACAAAGATGTTTTAGATTTTAGAGGAATTTACATACATACCACTGAACACATTACTATTTACATATGTAACACCTAAAAGTGCGTATAAACCTCACAACTGCTAAAATATACCACTCCCCATCATTTTTACTTGATGTCGTCTTAGTCCCATCTTCATCCCAGGTTGCAGGTATGTTAATCGGCTAAAGGAAGTTATGTCTGTGCCTATCCTTCGAGGCGTGAGGCCGGTCCCCGGACGTCATCCTTGAGTGGGAACTAGGAAGCCTTGGCGATCACGTCGCTGGTGAAAGAAAAGACCTTGTGGGCTCCAAAAATTCAACAACCACTCCCCAAGAGAACTCTTTGCAATTCTTTTTATTTTTGTTTTGTTGAGAGCTTTGGAGGATCGAATTTTCATAAGGCAAATTGGATTGTAGATAAGACACTAACCAGAGAATTTGTCATCATTTAGCGAGAACTTTTTGATCTGGGATTCGAGATTTCTCATAGGCCCAAACCCCTATGGTTAATTACCCATCTCGATAACAGGAGTGCACTTTTGATTTGATTAAGACTAATCATTAAAGATTGACTATTTAACATATAATAGCAGCATACTTATGATTTAAATTGTATAATTCACCACTTGAAGCTTAAAGCAAATGGTGGGGGAATGAAGATAAAACCTAATCAAGATCTCATGATTTCATCATTTCAGGTGGTCGTGATCCCTACTCTACTTAGTCAAAGGAGGTAGTCGGCTCAACTTGACAGAAAAATCATTGTTAGCAGCAACGGATTGTATCGTGCAAGAGATCCTTATAGATTTGGGGTGGATGTTTGTCTAAGGAGACAAATTTAAGTCGATCTTAGCTGACATAAGTTTTTATGTCAATCAATTGTACCATTACGATCCGCAACTCAAAGGGTAGCAAGCCATTGGGGAACATACAAACTGCAGTCGTGACCGTAATATAATGATGTCATTTAACAACGACCACTCAATTAGAGAGCTCTAATCGTAATGGTTATTTTGTGGATTCATTTGGCGGCAAAATCATGTGGACATAAGACTCGGGCCACGTCCTTATCTGCATGTAATTATTTTAATTGTGAATATAGGAATACTGTTAATATGACATTAGCTCTTTGGGAGCTGAAGTCAGTCCAAAATTTGTTACCCTTGACAAATTGTTGCGGAAGGTGGATGAGATTTTGTTTTAACTTTGTGATTGAATTTTACTTATATATTAGTTGATTTTTATGAAAAGTTTGATTTAAAGATTAACTCCTCCAATTGAAATATTCTATCAACTCGGTCATCATCAGGATATCAGACATTTCAAACACTTATATTTAAAGAAAGGCTTTTAATTTTTGTCAGTTTAGATTTCTAAGATATAAGTTATATCGACTCCTGTTCTTACAAGGAGAAGGATTTTCAATTTAGGATTTGGATATTTATTTCAAAATTACTAGACTCGTCACCTCCAGTTATTGCAAGAAGAATCGGACTAGTTGGGTAGAATTTACAACCCTATCTTATAGACAAAGCGGCCCGACCAGCCTGCACAGCATTCTCGAACCTAATATTTGAGCGTTCTAAATATTGGTTAGAGCACATGCGGGCATTTATTTCATATATTTGAATAGCTTAAAGAGTTTAATAGGCTTTGAAGACTTGCATAAACTTTAAGCCAAAAATTTAATATGGAATTTATGTTAAGAAGCATATGCAAGATTTTGAAAGTGTGCAATTGATTTGCTTATATAAACACCCTAAAGCATGTATAGCTCAAGAATAGCTCAAGTGGTACTCATTTGTCTTAAGAGTAGACTCATATTTCAAGATTTCTCATTTGACTTAGAAATTAAACATAATTTAAAAAAAATATATTGAAATCGTTTAGAGGTTAAAGTAATTGTGAAAGTAATAAGATTTTAAACTTTAAAAGAGGTCGTCTTCTGTTCTCTAGCAGGAGTATTACGAATCTGGTGGCAATGCGATTAATTTCAAATTTTTAATAAAGCTTCATGTTTGAATTATGTTTCTTTGTCTACTAAGAGCCTAAGTCTGAACAATGCAATTTTGAATTGGTTTCCAAGCTATAGGAACTTAAGTCTAAAAAGCTTAATCTTTTAAAATATTTTCAAATATATGAGCTCAAGTTTTAAAATCTAAATCTTAATATTTTAAACTTTGAAAATTTATATTTTAATAGCACAAAAAAATTAAAGTTTTAAAACCCTAAGAGTAAATATTTTAAAGCTCAAACTTTAAAATATTTCAAAACCTAAAGAGCCTAAATTTCAAAAGTCTGAGACTTTAATACTTTTAAAATCCTAAGAGGCTATATTTTAAAAGCTTGAAATTTCAAATTATTTTAAAATTCCACATGATACATATTTTATTTTTATTTTATAAGGCCAAAAATTTCAAAAATCTTTATATATAAGTCCTAAATTCACCCAAAAATTTGGCAACCTCCCAGTGTCAACCCTCATTTGGGGGGCACCGGAGCATGTCGAACTTCCCAACTATCTTAATAGGCGAGTTGGTCAGTGTCTCAGCCGAAGAGCAAAAAGTATAAACCTAAACAGGAATCTTAATGTACTTGCACAAAAAGGTTAGCTCACAAACTAACATGATCTAAATGATAAAATATTGATCTAATAATGGCAAATATAAAAAAATAACAAACTAATAACAGTTAAGAATTCCGTCAGCTAAGATCTGAAAGTCGTAAAGCTCTGCAGATATGGCGCCCTTAAGCCGTTCGGGATCGTGTAGAATAGGTCGCGCGGGACTAATCCGTGGTTCGATCGATTCGCCGGTCTATAGGATGAACTACCGATTCAACTGGTTCTGGGTGGTTCACTGTCTGAAAGGGCTATTATATGATTCAAGGTCGGACTAGCTACCAATTTGTGGTCGAACCAACCAATCCAATTCGGCTTTCTAAACCTTGGTTAAGAGTTAAGGTCAACGACCTAACGTGCATTACACATCTTTGGGATGACTTGACCTTATTAAACACAATTGGAAAAACATGATGTCTATCTGCATGTGAGATAAACCCAACGCAGTATGAAAAGCATTTAGCTCAATATAGAAAAAAAAAACAAAAATGGCAAAATTTGAGAAGTGTGTAAATATAATTATAGCAATTGGAGTTTTTAATTGGAAACAAGAACATCCTGAACAATGGTGTTTTTAACAATGAAATAAAAACATTATTAGAGTTTGGTGTATTCTACAAAAACACCACTTGTTTGAGCAATTTTTATTGAAGCCTTATCTGACATCCAAAGCAACACTATCTAGGCTAATATCTTTGCTATTAGTGGGGCAACATTCCATTACAATTTTCCTCTCTCTCTTCTCTCCCAAAAAGAGTATGCACAAATTTTGATAAGGCAATAGGAGTGCTATTAAAAAGGGTGCATTAACATATAGGCCACAAAAATCTTATACATGTACATATATATAACCTAAACATTCAAATTTGTATATATACCACTCAAATTTTTAATATTACATCAAAAATATCATCATCGCCATCTTTTTAAAAATATAATACATCTTTTCATGAATATGTTTATGACACCAAGGTTTTGTAGGTGTAAATATCAAATTCAATAACATATTTTCATAGACTATCAGTTAGGGAGCACAAATACCTCATAATAATGGGGAGCAAAAATGTCTTATAATAACATGTTTTAATACGACTATCAATTGACATTTTCATGAAAATGTCCATTCAATTAGCATTTTCAACAAAAACACCCAATTAATAATGTTTTATCAAGAAAATAATTGGCAATAGATCGGCTGGAGCATCAAAGAACAACCAATTATACCTAATGGCATAAGCAATAGGATGATGATCTGCCATGATTGGTAATTGCAACATACTCTATAAGTTGTTAAGTATGAGAGAAATACCTTACCTTATCGGTTAATAATGATTACAACCTCTCCAACTCCTCCCTCCAAATAACCATTCACAAACTAAATGATAAAAAATTCATTTGGAGTGATCTCAAATATTCAAATTAGCTATTGATGGAAGGAAAAGTTAGACTTTTTCACTACTAAACAATGTTTGAAAAGGAAAAATCGGGAACTAAGGTACTTGCCTTCATGAGATGAGACGTAAACCTCAAAATAGAAAAAGAAAGTAAGAAAATTAAAAATGATTAATAAATATAACATATACTATTGATATATGAATTTAATTTATTATAACAAAGGCACTACAAATCTCAATATTAAATGTTCAGACATAAAATGAAAGTTTAAAATGAGATTCATGATAAATATTCACTTAAAATTTAATACATTATGAGAATCAAGATCCACGATGACCTAATTCTCATGTTCATCATCTTTAAAAGAATCATCATATATAATAATTTTGTTATCATTTGCATTTTCAATTTTTTTCAATCATTATATTTTTCTTCTTACTTCATATTTCAACTAGCATTAGATCAAATATAATTTAAAATAAAAAAATATTTTAATAATATAATTAAATAATCATACTTAAAATATTTTTTTAACTTTTTGAAGTTATATACATGCAAATATCATATAATATAGTATATTTTTTTTTATATAATCAAATTGAGGCAAAGTCTCAAATGCCTAGAGATTTTTGCCTCATGACGTGTGCCTTAGACAAAAACATGTAAGCCTTAAAGTATTTTTTGTACGCCTCAATTAAAGCATGCTTCAAAGAAAGCGCCTCAAATGCCTTTTTAACAAGGCTAGTTAAGTCAACAAATTATGCATGAAAGAACCAA